CCATCCTGTGAGGAAAAAACACACACATAAGTGAAAAGTGACAAAACGTGGGAGAAAAAAATAAGTTAAATAAATAAAAAATAAAAAAGTGGCCATGCAATTGTGCCCTGGCTAGGCCCTGAGGCCCGTAGCATAAAAATTGCCCAGGACTTAGCCAAAAGGTCGAGCCCTAAAAGGCGCAGTGCAGAAAAAGTGTTTTGGATCAGTGACCATGTGCATGTTTCACACTTGGGATCCCATCCACATGTGCTACTAAGAGCACCCCTGAGGCGACCACTCAGGGGGCACTGTTCTGCAGACTCTCGGCCTCCCCGGTCCCTGCCAAGACAAGGTAGATCCGCTCAAATCAGGAGGAACTGGGCCCCTCCGGCTTCCCTGGGGGAATTACTCCCGGGCCCCAACTGCCTGTGGGCACCTTGGTTTCTGTTCCAGCCTGTACTAACCATCAGGACCCCCATCCTACCAGCAGGGGTACTATACAACCAAACATCCCCGCAAGCAGGAATGATGGTGAAGCACCCCTACTGGACACTGATAAGAACAAATACTACACTTGATCTGAGCCAAAAGGCTACTTACCATTAATTGGTAACCTGAGATTAGGATGATGCATAGTTTATGAAATAACATGACGTCTCTCAAAGATATCCACAGGTCCCCCCATCGTTGGAGAGGGAGAGACAGCAAATATGCTAATTAGATACAACGCTCTCCCTAAGTTGAAATAGTATGGTCCAAAATCATCATTATTCATAGAAGCAGGGGATGGTGGGAGAGGTGATCCATATGATCAAAGTGTGTCTGAGCCAACAAACCGAGCAGTTTTGAGTTTGGGCAAGGAGACAGGGCCCCCATGAGTTATCAGTCCACCCCTGCCCCTGTTGGAGTTGCACGACAGGACCAGAACACTCCAGAACGGGAAGGAAGTCATGATGCGGGTGGTCAGCGACTACTACATCAACCTCTATTCCTCTAAAGAAACAAGCACGTCAGCTTGTGTCAGGTTTTTTTTGGCCACCAACGCTCCCTTGACGTTGGAGGAGCTGCCAGATCCTTTAGGCGGGGCAGGACCCCGGGCTGCGACGGTCTCCCAGCGGAGATCTATGTAGTGCTGTGGGATCTTGTGGGCCTGGACCTGCTTGGAGATGGTGGTGCTTGATCCGGCCCATTTTTTTTTTTTTTAAAGTCCGCGAACGTGCGAAAAATGAAAAAAACCCGTAAGTGTTCACAAAAAACGTGCAAGTGCAAAACACCACACAAAAAAGTGCACTTAGGGGTGTGCTTTGCCCTTCCCCCCAAAGGGGATGGACCTCTACCCTGATCCCCCGGGGCACGAAGTTCCTGACAGGGACAAGGTTCCCATTTGGTCCACCTAGCCAAAAGGCCTGGCGGACCACCGTTCCTTGTGGCAGGCCGAAGCCAGCCACTCAGTACTTGGCCAGGGGGTTCTCCCGAAGAGAAAACCCCCAGGGACGGGGAGGAAGGAACCAAAAGGCCACACATCCTCCCCCTAGACTTCAGGGTAGGACCCACACCCTCCATCCTGTAAGAAAAAAAACACACACATGAGTGAAAGTGACAAACAGTGGGAGAAAATAAATTAAATAAATAAAAAGTGGTCGTGCCAAATGTGCACAGACCAGGCCCTGAGGCCTGTAGCAAAAATTGCCCCGAACTTAGCCAGAAGGTCCCTGTGCAGAAAAAGTGTTTGAACACAGAGGCCATGTGCCTTTTCACACGCTGGGGTCCCACACCCAAGTGTTACTAAGAGCACCCCTGAGGTGACCACTCTCAGGGGGCACTGGTTCGCGGACTTTCTGCCCTCCTGGCCCCTGGCCAGACCGAGGTAGATCCGCTCAAATCAGGAGGTACTGGGCCCCTCTGGTGTTCCAAAGGGGAATTACTCCCAGGCCCCAACTCTCTATGGGCACCTTGGTTTCTGTTCCCCCCGTATTAACCATCAGGACCCCCATTAGATACGCGGCTTGAACCTGCCCATGTCTGACTTGAACATGCAACCCATCTACCACTGACCATTGAAACAGGACAGTTTCATAGATGTTCACAACCCCCCTATGATACTCATGGACAATCAACATTTGTCTTGACACATTCCATTGGTCAGATTAAACTCTAATAAATACCACCACTCTGTCTCAAAACATCAGTATAAGACCCCTTTCACACGTGCAATGGGGACCAGCTGTCCATTTTTCACGCGGACCCAATTGGTCCATCCAAAGACTCCTATGGACCAGCGGGTGTCAGTAGACAATAGTCCGGTATCCGATCTGATCCTGTACGCCAAAAACAGACAGATGGGGATCTGTTCCCCCATCCATCCAGCGGATTGGATGACAATCGGGTGGAAATGGACAGGCGGATCACGCTGACAGATCCGCCCCATCTGAAAAGGACCTCATATTGATTTGGTTACGGAGTAATTGTCAGTCAAAGTATCACATCCCCCTGAAAAAGGTCATCAAGGGGGATTGTGGGCTGGTACTCAACGGGTTAAAGACAGAAACAGGCTAATCATTGATTTGCATGTTGACACCATTTTGGTTTTGCCCGGTAGGCAGCTGTGATCGCCAGACTGGAGCGTGCCGGAATCACAGTTCTCCGCCACCACCGATCTTCACCTTCCGTTCTGCCTTGATTTGTAAGGACGCCAAGTCTTCTAGGCATGGAATGGACAAGTTGGCGACATATCGCAACATCGATCTTTTTCCATTCTTCAAGAACGACCTCTTTTAGTGCCTGGATGTTGGATGGAGAGCGGTAAGGTTTGGGGTCCTCCACCACTTCGTCCTCTCCTGCTCCATCATCCCAGACATTACCGAGGATTGTCCTCTAATCCCGTTCATGAAACGACCCTAACAGATGTTATCGACTCCGACGGCGGACCTCTGCGTACGAGTCCCACAGTGGGAGCGCAGTCCATAAATTGTCAGATCTTCGATAGGGAGGCTCCGTTCTGCGCGCGGCTCACATCTGCTAACCATTACGCCGCTGTTCGGAGTTCTGCGCGTCTCGCTGTGCAAGCAAACACCAGCCGCGCTAATCTGCCCATTAAATATACCCGGATCGGCATGTTCGCCTAAAATATATACAAGACGTCGCAACTGGAATGTCCTAAACGTTCGCCGACATGAGAAGGGAAAAAAAAACGAGAAGCCACCGGAATGGTTCGTGTTCCATAGGGCGACGGAATGTGCTTCGCCCGCCGCCAGTATTGTGTATGACCTCCATGATTTGTAATGATGCGCCAAGTCTTCTAGGCATGGAATGGACAAGTTGGCGACATATTGCGACATCGATCTTTTCCCATTCTTCAAGAACGACCTCTTTTAAAGCCTGGATGCTGGATGGAGAGCGATGCTCAACTTGTCTCTCCAGAATTTCCCCCCATAGGTGTTCGATTGGGTTCATATCAGGAGACACCAATTCTGAAGAGAAAACTTGTCTCTCCAGAATTGGTGGGAGGATTGCTGTAGTATAGCATCCCATAGAAAATGTGGATTCTGAAAGGAAGGGGTGGCCTCATTTATGCTGAGCACTCTATATATATAGTCCTTGGATGTGGTGGCTGCATTTGTTTTCCTTTATTTTACCCTGGTGATCCTGCGAGGAACACAATTCCTGTCCTAGGGTAACTTACCGGAAACCGACCCCTTCTGAAAAGTAAGATTTGATTCATTATCTCCATGAACATGAGAACAATCTCCACCATGGGGACAGATCGGAGTTTGATTGAACATTTGTTCAGCTCATTCAGGGAAGGTTCATAATAAAGATCGATGACAAAATCTTCAGTTTTACTCCAGTGAGTTAATGCAAAAATGAATCCGCCCCACAACAAGAACTCCTCCATCGAGTATTTTGTATGACCTCCATGATTTGTGAGGACGGCACCGAGTCTTCTAGGCATGGAATGGACAAGTTGGAGATATATTGCAACATCGATCTTTTCCCATTCTTCAAGAACAACCTCTTTTAGAGCCTGGATGCTGGATGGAGAGCGATGCTCAGCTTGTCTCTCCAGAATTCCCCCCATAGGTGTTGGATTGGGTTCAGATCAGGAGACAGACTTGGCCACTGAATCCCTTGCACCCGGTTCTTCTTCAGAGACACAACATTGGCCTTAGAGTCGTTTTCATGTTGGAAAAGTGCACGACGACCGAGGGCACGGAGGGATGGCGACTTCTCTCTCAATCAGGGGTGGACTGACAACTCCTGGGGCCCCCAGGCAATAGGGGATCATGGGGCCCCTGTGTCCTTGCCCAAACTCAAAAAAGCCTATAAAAAAAGTACCAGGGGCATCTCATGGGGCCCCCTACTGACCCCGGGGCCCTCGGGCAGTGCCCCAGTTTCCAAATGGTCACTCCGCCCCTGCTCTCAATATATAGCAGTACATCTGTGAGTTCATGACACCATCAATGAAAGCTTCCTGACACCTGACATCTTTTAGAGCCTGGATGCTGGATGGAGAGTGGTCCTCAACTTGTCTCTTCAGAACTGGTGGGAGGATTTTGCAGTACAGTGTCCCATAGAGAACGTGGATTCTGAAAGGAACTGGTGGACTCATTTATGCCGAGCACTCTCTCTATATATATAGTCCTTGGATGTGGTGGCTGCATTTGTTTTCCTTTACTTTACCGTGATGATCCTGCCAGGAACACAATTCTTGTCCTAGGGTAACAATGCCGTACCTGGGAACTTACCGGAACTGACCAGTACACCCCTTCTGCAAAGTAAGATTTGAGTCAATATCTCCATGAACACAAGAACGATCTCCATCATGGGGACTGATCGGAGTTTGATTGAACATTTGTTCGGCTCATTACAGGAAAGGAAGGTTCATAATTAGAGATGAGCGAATTATTCAAAAATTCGATTCGGCTGATTCGGCGAATTCGCGGAATAAATTCGATTCGAGTCGAATATATTCGCTGCGAATTTAACTTATAAAAAGGGTGTTTCTAGGCTTCAGAGAGCCTTTATATTAGTGCAGAACACTGTACCTTTAATTTAAATGCCCTTGGAGTCTGCTGGGGAAGAGAAATAATACTGTCAGTCAGTATGACATGCAGATGAGTGCCGTCGATCTTAGAATTCACCGCACACTTCACTCATTTGGGCGGCATATCACGGGGCCAAAACCAGAGTGTGGAGCCCACAGTGTGGCGTTGGAGGCAGCAGCAATGGGAGGCCATAACAGCCCCCTATGACAAAATGGAACCCACCAGCAGTGTGAGGAGACCTGAAAGTGGCACATGGCAGAGTGTGGCGATGGAGACAGCAGCAATGGGAGGCCGTACAGGGACCCATGACACACTCTGGACCTGGCAGCAGCATGAGGAGGCGGTACAGGGGCCCAGGGGCCCATGACAGATTACGGGCCTGGGCAGCAGCATGAGGAGTCGGTAATTAACGGGGGCCCATGGCAGATTACGGGCCTGGCAGCAGCAATGGGAGGCCGTACAGGGACCCATATGACACACTCTGGACCTGGCAGCAGCATGAGGAGGCAGTACAGGGGCCCATGACAGATTACGGGCCTGGCAGCAGCAGCATGAGGAGTCGGTACGGGGGCCCCATGGCAGATTACGGGCCTGGCAGCAGCAATGGGAGGCCGTACAGGGGACCCATGACACACTCTGGACCTGGCAGCAGCATGAGGAGGCGGTACAGGGGCCCATGACAGATTATGGGCCTGGCAGCAGCATGAGGAGTCGGTACGGGGGCCCATGGCAGATTACGGGCCTGGCAGCAGCAATGGGAGGCCCGCAATCTGCCAGCATCCCCCTATGACAAAATGGAACCCACCAGCAGTGTGAGGAGACCTGAAAGTGGCACATGGCAGAGTGTGGCGATGGAGACAGCAGCAATGGGAGGCCGTACAGGGACCCATGACACACTCTGGACCTGGCAGCAGCATGAGGAGGCGGTACAACAGGGGCCCATGACAGATTACAGGCCTGGCAGCAGCATGAGGAGTCGGTACGGGGGCCCATGGGCAGATTATGGGCCTGGCAGCAGCAATGGGAGGCCGTACAGGGACCCATGACACACTCTTGGACCTGGCAGCAGCATGAGGAGGCGGTACAGGGCCCATGACAGATTACGGGCCTGGCAGCAGCATGAGGAGTCGGTACGGTACGGGGGCCCATGGCAGATTACGGGCCTGGCAGCAGCAATGGGAGGCCATACAGCACCCTATGACAAAAAGGAACCCACCAGCAGTGTGAGGAGACCTGAAAGTGGCACATGGCAGAGTGTGGCGATGGAGACAGCAGCAATGGGAGGCCGTACAGGGACCCATGACACACTCTGGACCTGGCAGCAGCATGAGGAGGCGGTACAGGGGCCCATGACAGATTACGGGCCTGGCAGCAGCATGAGAGGAGGCGGTACGGGGGCCCATGGCAGATTACGGGCCTGGCAGATGACGACAAGGCTGCCAAGTGCGATCAGCCTCATCATCATCAATTAGGGTCTCCGCCTCACTACTAGCCCCCCGGCTGCGTGTGGGTCAGGAGACAGACCTGTCTCTAGACACCCTACCGAGCCACTCTCCTCGCCAGTACTTCTTCGCCTGGCTGCTGAAGAGGCGGATGTCTCCCCCCGTTCCTGACCGCCCTCTGTTAGCTCTTCCTCACTGTACAGTGGGGCTGAGCCCACAGCATGCGATACTTCGCTTGGTGAGGGAACACCAAAGGACAGGGGCAGGTAGAGGACACGTGATTTTCAGTGGGCTTGCTCCCGGGCCCCATCCAACTAACGGTTTGTGTCTGACGTACCCACCGACCGTTGGCTGTAGGTGTCAGAGGTGACCTGGGAAGAGGAAGACGACCGAGCCAACCAATCGATGATGGCAGGGTTTGTCGGTGGAGACACGACCATCGAGGGCACAGAAGTTTGGATGACACCGGGAGCACTGGCCTCTGCTGCTGAGAACTAGTGCTGCCTCGACCCCCTTTCCTCTGCTGCCAACGTCTGCTCGCATCCTGAAACATTGCCTCCTCTGCCACTCCTCTGCATGTTGTCTGACATACTCTTAATTCAACGATTCTGTGTCCCTGAGTAAACAATTCTGTGTCCCTGAGTAACAATTCTGTGTCCCTCAGTAACGATTCTGTGTCCCTCAGTAACAATTCTGTGTCCCTGAGTAACAATTCTGTGTCCCTGAGTAACAATTCTGTGTCCCTCAGTAACGATTCTGTGTCCCTCAGTAACGATTCTGTGTCCCTGAGTAACAATTCTGTGTCCCTGAGTAACAATTCTGTGTCCCTGAGTAACAATTCTGTGTCCCTCAGTAACGATTCTGTGTCCCTCAGTAACAATTCTGTGTCCCTGAGTAACAATTCTGTGTCCCTGAGTAACAATTCTGTGTCTGTCCCTGAGTAACAATTTTCTGTGTCCCTGAGTAACGATTCTGTGTCCCTGAGTAACGATTCTGTGTCCCTGAGTAACGATTCTGTGTCCCTGAGTAACGATTCTGTGTCCCTCAGTAACGATTCTGTGTCCCTGAGTAACAATTCTGTGTCCCTGAGTAACAATTCTGTGTCTGTCCCTGAGTAACAATTCTGTGTCCCTGAGTAACAATTCTGTGTCCCTCAGTAACGATTCTGTCCCTCAGTAACGATTCTGTGTCCCTGAGTAACGATTCTGTGTCCCTGAGTAACAATTCTGTGTCCCTGAGTAACAATTCTGTGTCCCTCCGTAACAATTCTGTGTCCCTCAGTAACGATTCTGTGTCCCTCAGTAATGATTCTGTGTCCCTGAGTAACAATTCTGTGTCCCTGAGTAACAATTCTGTGTCCCTGAGTAACGATTCTGTGTCCCTGAGTAACGATTCTGTGTCCCTCAGTAACGATTCTGTGTCCCTCAGTAACAATTCTGTGTCCCTGAGTAATGATTCTGTGTCCCTGAGTAACGATTCTGTGTCCCTGAGTAACAATTCTGTGTCCCTGAGTAACAATTCTGTGTCCCTGAGTAACGATTCTGTGTCCCTGAGTAACAATTCTGTGTCCCTGAGTAACAATTCTGTGTCCCCTGAGTAACGATTCTGTGTCCCTCAGTAACAATTCTGTGTCCCTGAGTAACAATTCTGTGTCCCTGAGTAACAATTCTGTGTCTGTCCCTGAGTAACAATTCTGTGTCCCTGAGTAACAATTCTGTGTCCCTGAGTAACGATTCTGTGTCCCTCAGTAACAATTCTGTGTCCCTGAGTAACAATTCTGTGTCCCTGAGTAACAATTCTGTGTCTGTCCCTGAGTAACAATTCTGTGTCCCTGAGTAACAATTCTGTGTCCCTGAGTAACAATTCTGTGTCTGTCCCTGAGTAACAATTCTGTGTCTGTCCCTGAGTAAACAATTCTGTGTCCCTGAGTAACAATTCTGTGTCCCTGAGTAACAATTCTGTGTCCCTGAGTAACGATTCTGTGTCCCTCAGTAACAATTCTGTGTCCCTGAGTAACAATTCTGTGTCCTGTCCCTGAGTAACGATTGTGTCCCTGAGTAACAATTCTGTGTCCCCTGAGTAACAATTCTGTGTCCCTGAGTAACGATTCTGTGTCCCTAAGTAACGATTCTGTGTCCCTAAGTAACGATTCTGTGGCCCTAAAGTCTCTGTGGCCCTAACTCTGTCCCTAATACACAAAGGTCTGACTCTCTTGAATGACTGGAGGCTAATGGAGAATTCTAAGATGGCCGCAATTTATAGCTCCACCATTACACAGTGCTGGCTGGCTGGCTGCTGATTGGCTAATGCGATCACATGTCATGAATGAATGCATTATGGGTCAGCGCGCCTTGTCTGCGCGCCTTCCCAGAGATCCCCCCGCTCCCACACATGTCGCCGCCATTTTTGGTAAAAATTCGATTCGTGCATCCGAAGTTTGCTAATTTTCGGATTCGGCGCGAATCAAATTTTTCCTAATCTTCGAAACGAATTCCACTTCGCCTACTTCGATTCGCTCATCTCTATTCATAATAGAACTTCGATGACAAAATCTTCAGTTTTACTCCAACGAGTCGATGCAAAAATGAATCCCCCCCCCCCCCCCCACAACAAGAACTCCTCCATTGAGTATGTTGTACGACCTCCATGATTTGTAAGGACGGCACCGAGTCTTCTAGGCATGGAATGGACAAGTTGGAGATATATTGCAACATCGATCTTTTCCCATTCTTCAAGAACGACCTCTTTTAGAGCCTGGATGTTGGATGGAGAGTGATGCTCTCCAGAATTCCCCCCATAGGTGTTGGATTGGGTTCAGATCAGGAGACATACTTGGCCACTGAATCCCTTGCACCCGGGTCTTCTTCAGAAGTCCAACAGTGGCCTTAGATGTGTGTTTTGGGTCGTTGTCATGGTGGAAAAGTGCACGACGATCGAGGGCACAGAGTGATGGGAACATCTTCTCTCTCAATATAGAGCAGTACATCTGTGAATTCATGACACCATCAATGAAAGCTCCCTGACACCAGCAGCACTACTGCAGCCCCAGAGAAGGACACTGCCACCACCATGTTTGTTCGGCTCATTACAAGAAATTAAGGTTCATAATAGAACTTCGATGACAAAATCTTCAGTTTTACTCCAATGAGTCGATGCAAAAATGAATCCCCCCCCACAACAAGAACTCCTCCATTGAGTATGTTGTACAACCATCCATGATTTGTAAGGACGGCACAGAGTCTTCTAGGCATGGAATGGACAAGTTGGAGATATATTGCAACATCGATCATTTCCCATTCTTCAAGAACGACCTCCTTCAGAGCCTGGATGCTGGATGGAGAGCGATGCTCAGCTTGTCTCCTCAGAATTTCCCCCATAGGTGTTGTTGGATTGGGTTCAGATCAGGACACATACTTGGCCACTGAATCCCTTGCACCCGGTTCTTCTTCAGAAATGCAACAGTGGCCTTAGATGTGTGTTTTGGGTCGTTGTCATGTTGGAAAAGTGCACGACGATTGAGGGCACAGAGTGATGGCACCATCTTCTCTCTCAATATAGAGCAGTACATCTGTGAATTCATGACACCATCAATGAAATGCAGCTCCCTGACACCAGCAGCACTTATGCAGCCCCACAGAAGGACACTGCCACCACCATGTCTCACAGTAGGCACCATGCATTTGTCTTTGTACTCCTCACCTTTGTGACGCCATACAGTTTTGAAGCCATCAGTTCCATAAACATTTATCTTGGTCTCATCACTCCAGAGTACAGAGTCCCAGTAGTCGTCTTCTTTTCCAGCATGGGCCCTGGCAGATTCTAGGTGGGCTTTTTGTGCATGGCCTTTAGGAGAGGCTTCCTTGGTGAACGACACGCAGGGGCGAACTGACAACTCATGGGGCCCCCGGGCAATAGGGGATCATGGGGCCCCTGTGCCCTTGCCCAAAACTCAAAAAAGCCTATGAAAAAAGGTACCAGGGGCATCTCATGGGGCCCCTTACTGACCCCGGGCCCTCGGGCAGTGCCCCAGTTTCCAAATGGTCAGTCTGCCCCTGGTACGCCGTATTGTGTCACAGGAAACAATCGCCCCAGTTTGGCTTTCTACCTAACTGCAGTGAACTTGCATAGAGATTTTCTCCAACCCTTCCCATCAGAAGACGCTCCTGTCGATGTGATAACTTCCATGGACGGCCTGGATGTCTCTGTGAGATGGTTGCAGTTCCATCTTTGTCATATTTCTGTGTCACTTTTGCTCCAGTATTCTGACTGATAAGTTAAGTGTTTTTTTATATGTTAAAAAAAAAATCTGAAGAATATATTTAAAAAATGCATTTACAAATATATGTAAAAATTTATGTTAAAATTACTTTTTTATATGTTAGAATCTGAAGAATATATTTAAAAAAGTAAATATACTAATTTTTACATTTGTAAAAATACTTTTGTAACCCTCTTTTCATATATTTTGTAATATATAAAAAAAGCATTTCAATATACAGCACACATATAATATATATATACACTGCATGTTGAAATGAGTTTTTTTTATATATTAGAAAATATGTTTTCCTTATTGTAGATGTTCAAAAATATTTTGTAAAAATGTAAAAATATTTTAGTATTTTTTTTAAATATATTCTTCAGATTTTTTCTAACATATAAAAAAGTAATTTTAACTCACCAGCGGCGCACTTTCCTGCCCCTCGCCGATCCTCTTCTATCTCCGGCCGGTGTCTCTGCAATCATTTTTTTTTTATTTAATGGATGGACTTTTGTCTTTTTTCAGCCAGACTAACTATGTAACAAATGAGGTTCTGCACGGACGGACGATCGATTGTTACGAATGCTGTGAGGCCGCCCGCATTATCTCCCAAATCCCAGCGGATGCGCTGCGAGAACCCCTTCTAACCTGGGGCGGATGACCATTTGGGAACTTGGGCTCTGCCCGAGGGCCCGGGGTCAGTAGGGGGCCCCATGAGATGCCCCTGGTACTTTTTTCATAGGCTTTTTTTAGGTTGGGCAAGGACACAGGAGCCCCATGATCCTCTATTTCCTGGGGGCCCCATGAGTTGTCAGTCCGCCCCTGCCTCTAACCCCACCCCCGTGACCCCAAAACAATCAGATCTCTCCTTTGTCACGTATGACATGTACGGTGGTTCGCACGCGAGCAGCAGAACATAGCTGGGGGGGGGGGGCGGGGGCGGCTGGCGTTGATCTACTGGCGCGGTGGCATGCGATAATGACGCTGAGCAGATGTTTCAGTACCTGGAAGGTCTGATGTAAACTGTTTACCTGATGGGACGCTGCAGGTTCAAATAAACATCGGGGGGCCCCTGCTGCCCTCTGGATGGGGGTCTCTGCACCAGCAACGTAACTGAAGCCCCCAGGCTGCTCCCACCCTTCACTATAAATACAAGGGGGGGAGGGGAGAGAAAGAGAATACAGCTCCTATGGTTGAAAAAAAAAATTTGACTTAAAGGGTAACTTCCCTCCCCCCCCCCCCCCACGGTGATCTCTGCACAAACATTGCTGCAGATTCCTCCCTTTTGTCATTCTGCAGAAATCTCTGTTTGTTTCTCAGTGTCCTCTG